AGAATGTTAGTAATTTATGTGTGCCAATAAATTCTAGGTTAGTGATCCCTAGACGAGCGATTTTTAACCTTTTTCATCTCATGGCACACATAAATTACTAAAATTCTGTGTCACACCATAGCATGAAGCACCATAAGCTTCCCAAAGTATACGATAACTTTCAGCAGCACTTTTCTTCAAAACAAAGTAATGAATTAAGACTTCCCACAAATGCTCTTTAAGCGTAAAAATATCTATAATGTTACACCTTCAGCAAATTTGACATATGAAGGTTTGAAGCTTGTCAATACAACAAAATAGCATACATATCAAGTCACATATATATCAACATATGTGTACCTCCAACTATTGAAAAAAATCCGCATTATTAACCGGTACACCTATATCTGTGTGTCCTTGGGCTGGGTACCACCCAACCCCCTTAGCAACTGAGAGCCTTCGAGGAAAGAAGGTAAAGTTAAAAGACCTAGAACAGGGGTGGGGGATGTCCGGCCTGCAAAATCATTTGGTCTGGTCCTGCCAAGGCATTAGGGGTGGGTTAATGAAATGTTTGATCAAATTTAGCAGGCTAATTTTCAAGTTGGTAATTTTGTATGGCCCTTGAATGATGTTATAAATATCCAAATGGCCCTGGCAGAAGAAAGGTTCCAGACCATTGACCTAGAGAAAAAAAGTGATAGCGGGATGGCCAGGGATGGTAAGAGTGGGGTGGAGGGAGCTGGGAGACCCACTCTCATAAACCCAGGGAGCCTGGTGGCTTACTGCCTCGGGGACAGGGCCCATCGTCCCTTCAAGGACAGAGAATCAGCTGCCCTCCCAGCCCCTTCAGGCAGGTTCCCAAGCCAGCCACTCAAGCCCAGGCAGCCGGCCAAGGTCTCACTCTTCACTTTCTGTCCCACAGCCCCTGCCAGACTGCTGTGTTCTGGGTCCCCTCTGGCTGACCTGCCCAGACCCCATCCCATCCCATCTTGAGCAATTGCAAGAAAACTATCCCAGCTGCCTTGACTCTAGGAGACTCTACTTTTTTCTTTTAAATATGGGGAAAGAGCCCTTGCTGGCTTGGCTCAGTGGACAGAGCATCAGCCTGGGGACTGAAGGGTCCCGGGTTCGATTTCAGTCAAGGGCACATGCCCGGGTTGTGGGATCGATCCCCAGTGGGGGGCGTGCAGAAGGCAACCGATCAATGATTCTCTCTCATCATTGATGTTTCTATCGCTCTCTCCCTCTCCCTTCCTCTCTGAAATCAATAAAAATATATTTTAAAGATATATATAGGGGAAGAGGCTCAGAGAGGGACAGAAATTTACTCTAGGTCACACAGCCAAGTCAACGCAGAGCCGGGATAAGACCCCAAGTCTCTGGCCTCTGTCCACACAGCAGCACTCCCCCATAGGCCCTTCCTCAACTCCCAGAAGACCCCAACCCCTGCTACTTCAGCCACTTCCCTGGGACACGCCCCCCACACAGCACTTTCCAGATTTGGAAGAAATGGTGAGGGGCACAGGGCTCTCCCAGTGAGGATTCTAAGGACAGGGCTCTCTCTGCTCTCAGAATGGAGGTTCCAAGGGCAAGACCCTGCCTCCCCACTCAGCCGCCTCTGACGCTGCACAAGTCATGTGGAGCCTAAGGGCCAAGCGGGCAGGAGCTGCTGCAGGAAATATGGATCCCAGCTGGCAGAGATGAGGGCTCCAGGTGGAGTTGAAGGAACATGAAAGGAGTTGGCCAGAGCTGGGGAGGAGCAAGCACTTAGAGACCCTCCTGGACCTAGCTGCAGAGGGGGGCCACCCTGTCATGTGTTGTCAGGTGACCCTCCAGAAGTCAGAAAGAAGCCCGGATTCCAGATTGGGTGGGTTAGAAAGACCCTTACCCTAGACCAGAACTCAGCCTGAGAGCACTGACCTCCAGGGAGCCAGGGTCCTGCCAGCTCTCTCTGCCTTTCACCAGGGCTTGGGGCCAGGCTGGTGTTCCCCTGCTGGCTTGGGGGTGGGGTGAAGGAGGGGTGGGGGGATAATGGAGAGCAGCTCAACGCCATTCAATTTGTCTGAGGAGCTCTCATTTTGGCTGATATAATTCCGCCTGTTGGGACCAAGATAGGAACATGGCCAAAAGCTGTTATTTCTAGACGGACTTAGAAGGAGCAGGGCTGCTGGAGGAGAGAGACAGACAGGTGTGCAATGAGGAAGTCCTCTGACCCCATGAGGTGAGAGTCTCCTAAGGATCTCAGGTATTAAAAACTTCACTCAGGCTCTTGGGAATGAGAATAAACCCAGGACAGGCTTTAATGGGGCGCACGAGGCCTAAAGCCCCCAATATAGCTTGTGGGAGTAGAGGCTATGGCAGGAAGGAATTGGGGTCAGGAACCCACCAGGTTGTGAGGGTCAGAGGCTGACAGAGAGGTCATGACTGACAGCTGGGCCTGAGTTCCCTGGTTCCTTGGAGCTTGGGGAGGAAATAAGTTGGTGAGCTCCACTCACCACCCTAATACCCAACCTCCATCCCTTTCTCTCCATCCCCAGACCATGACAGCTTGCTCCTCAGACAGGAACCAGCCTCCTTACTGGTATGCCTGCTGCCAGATGCACCCCCTTCAATCTATTCACCACTGCCCACGGTGATCTTTCTAAAATGAAAATGGAACCAAATTAATCCCTTGCTGAAAAATCAGGCATAATTCCATAACAGTTTCATGCATTTTTGTGGGTTTTTTAAAATATATTTTTATTGATTTCAGAGAGGAAGGGAAAGGGAGAGAGGGAGAGAGAGAAACATCAATGATGAGAGAATCACTGATTGGCTGCTTTCTGCACGCCCTCTACTGGGGATCAAACCCGCAACCAGGGCATGTGCCTTGGACCAAAATCGAATCTGGGACCCTTCAGTCTGCAGGCTGGCAGTCTGTCCACTCAGCCAAACTGGCTAGGGCTGGTTTTCATGGTTTTTGAAAAAGTAGGTTGATCTTTTATTCAAATGAACTCTTGGGGGGAACCCCAGTATGTAAACCAGATATTACATCGTATTGGTATACATTTATTGTACAAATTCAAACACATTACATGTACATAAAGTATTTATTATAATGTCAACCAATGACAACAACACAGTTGTTTGGGTGATGATAAATTCGAAACTGGGAGTTAAGATGCCAGTGCAGCCGAAACCGGTTTGGCTCAGTGGATAGAGCGTCGGCCTGCGGACTGAAGGGTCCCAGGTTTGATTCCGGTCAAGGGCATGTGCCTGGGTGGCGGGCGCATCCCCAGTGGGGAGTGTGCAGGAGGCAGCTGATCGATGTTTCTCTCTCATCGATGTTTCTAACTCTGTATCTCTCTCCCTTCCTCTCTGTAAAACATCAATAAAATATATTTTTAAAAAAAATGATGCCAGTGCAGACTTAAGCTTCATCATCTAGTCAGTTTGTTTCTGCGTGGGCTGGTTTTGGCAGTATTGAGAAAGCTCTGATTCACACCAATAAGTGGTTGCAAATGCCTTGTTTTAAAGTACAAGCCTCAAGAGATTCAGCAATAATTGTCAGCAATCTCAAGATACTCTTCTATTAAACAGATCACAGGAAAAACTTTATTCTGTGGTTTGCTTAAAAAAAAATCAATCCGCAGCATAAATTAATATGTTGGTAGTCTCCAAGGTGCACAAAAACATCCACATAACACATTTGAGTGAGTTGAATTTTATTATACATTTTTAACAGTTTAAAACATACTTTGAAGAAGAAAAAAATTAATTGGATTCACGGGGCTCCATGGAACCTAGTTTTAAAAGCCCTAACCTCGCCCAGCTGGCATGGCTCAGTGGTTGAGAGTCAACCTATGAACCAGGAGGTCATGGTTCAATTCTTGGTCAGGGCACATGCCTGGTTACAGACTCGATTGCCAGTGTGGGGCGTGCAGGAGGCAGCTGATCAATGATTCTTTCTCATCATTGATGTTTTGATATATTGCTCCCTCTCCCTTCCTCTCTGAAATCAACTTAAATTATATTAATTAATAAATAAAACCCCTAACTTCACCGAATAAGGTCCCAGCTCCTTAACATGGTACTCAAGGCCCTCCATTGGCCTCTGGCATTCCTCCAACTCTTCTCCCAAAGATCCTGCCTTCTCCCCCTCAGTGGCCATCTGCATGCCTTCTGCCCACCCTGTTTCTCTCCGCATGGCAAAACCACTTTAAGATGAGCGCAAAGGCCACCTCTACAGAGCCTCCCTTAGTGGGCAGCTACTCCTCTCTGCACCCCTGCACTGGTAGGGCCTTCCACCTGAGCACTCACCACCTGCAGGGGCTCCCCCTCAGGGCAGTGTGAGGCCTGAGGCCGGGTCAGCCTAACTCTCCTCCATCCCCCTGTTGCTGCAGGAAATGACTGTTGACAGGTGCGCCTCCTGGGGTAGGGTCTTTGGAAGGAAGTAGCAAGACACACTATGGTCAGGCTGGAGCTCTTTTTTGGAAGATGCTCCGAGCCAGCCTCTGTTCTCAGTCCCCTCCGCAAGCACCGATGTCTGATAAGCGGGAATTAGCAAGGCCCAGGGGGCAACCAGGGCATCAAGAACTTGTGGGGTTGGAAGAGGACCTCTCTCCTCTCCGGCGTCCTGCAGGGCTGAGACCACCATGGAGGTAGCAGGGCTGCGAACGCCCACTGCGCAGGGAGCCGAGGTGCAGAGTCCAGCGTCGGAAGCCCAGGGCCAGGGGCGCAGAGCCCCGAGCGCACCCTCGGGGCGCGGGGAACACAGCGCCCAGCCCAGGGCGCATGGCCCTGAGCCAGACCCCCAAATGCATAGGCTCGAGTACGAAGCCCAGTACCCGGATGACAGAAACCGGAGCGCACAGCAAGGAGGAGCGGGTTTGCAGAGTCTGGTTTCTGGGGTCCGGGTCGCTTCCGCGGGCTTCACGGACCGGCTTGGCCACCAGTGCTGCCCGTGCGCCCAGGCAGCCGCACCGGGAGGGGCTGGCCTCGGGGCCCAGAGCTGGG